TGTCTGCTTTACACGGTCCATAAACCCATATTAAACACACTGAGACACGGCTTCAGCTCTGCACAGTGTTGATGAACAGCAGAACACACACACACACACACACAGGTGGAGAAAAATGATCTTGTTTTCCTTATGACGAGATTATTCTGCTGGGTTTAAGGAGAAACCCGCTCGTTCTGCCGCTGTGCTGCTGAACAGGAGGACGTCTCTGCTGCTCCAGAAGAGGCTCAGACGGATTCCAGTGTTCAGACCATAAACAGAACACGAACTCTGAGAGAGGAAACACCTTTAGCAGTGCAAGCGCTGAATACTAGCAGAATCACACACCGGCGTCACATTCAGCACAGAGGCTATAGAGGAACGGCAGAATCACACACACACACACACACACACACACTAGCACACACTGACAGACACACATACAGACATACACAGACACACACGGAGCATAAAAGAGAGACAAACACTCACACAATTATTTTTTCAGGATTTTGTTTGTAATACACACACACACACACACACACACACGCGCTTCAGTCAGCCAAAGTTGTATATTTATTTAGATTACATTTAACTTATTAATGATGTTCAGGTTGTGTGTGTGTGTGTGTGTGTGTGTGTGTGTGTGTGTGTGTGTGTGTTTCACACACTGAAGGAGTGTATGTATACTATTTTGAGTGTGAGCTGAGATGGTATGGTCCATTATGGGGGTGGGCTAACCCATATTTATTGTTTATTGATTTAATAATTAATATTTTACAGATACAGATCAGATCAAACCATCTCTCACTATATAATAGGGTAAACCCCCAGACGTGCTGTTTAGACGTTCTTCAGTTAATTAGGGGGTCAAACACCCCCAAACCCTGCGCGCGCACACACACACACACACACAAAGGCACAGATAATGTGAGCTGGTGAGCGCTCAGTGTGTGTTCGCTGATGTTCAGCAGGAGTATACTGGACCGCTGTGTCTCAGCATCAGCAGTCAGACTCGCATCATCACAGTAATAATCTCATTTATCAGTCAAACACTGAGACTAAATAAACACATCAGCATCATGACAGACCTCATCTTCAGGACAACTCTACAGAATGAGGTTCAGAGGACGCGTGTGCTGCTCTTACTGTACCGTTCTGCGTCCGCGTGATGAAGCACTCGTCAGTCAGATCAGGGTGTGTAAAACTCCATATTCAGTATTGTCTCTGAGTCCATCACTGTGCTGGTCTGCGGGCAGCACTGCAGCACACACACAGCTGTAGAGGAAAGGAAGCAGCAGCTCTGAGCTCTGAGTCTGAAGCCCGATAAATCAACACATATAATGTCCTGTATTTCAGGAGCGCGCAGAAGGAGCGCGCTCTCGGAGACGCGATGCGATTCTGATCAGCGCGTGCGAGCGACGGCGAAACACCGGCGTCGTGACGTCACAGCCCACTCAACCCCGCCCTCTGCAAACCCCTCCCGCTGAGGAGAAAGTTTAGAAATGTCCATTAAAGCAGTGTTTCTGCGACGGTCTGCTGCCACAACCCCTCCGCGAGAGAGCCTTGCTGTTATATTAGGGTCAGGTCAGGGCTCATGCAGGTTAAATGTGGAGTTATTTTGTTATCACTTCAGTTTCCTTTATTTTTGTCATTCAAAACATCAAAACAACGCAGAACGAAATTATATCAGACCCAACAAGAACAGAACAACATCAAACACTATAAAGCCCTAACATAATTACTAAGCTTTTATAATTTCATAAATATATATATACCAATAGAAGACAATCAAACAGCACTGAAGGGAATAAATTAACACTTAAATAACTATTGCCCAGCTGTAGTGTAATGTGGGATATTGGTGAATTAGTATTGAATGACTCTATAGTGTCCGTCACTGTGTGGCTGCAGGT